ATCCATCCATCCATCCATCCATCCATCCATCCATCCATCCATCCATCTATCTATCTATCTATCTATCTATCTATCTATCTATCTATCTATCTATCTATCTATCTATCTAGATATAAATGAAGGAAATTTTATTTCAGGAATGGGAATGCTTGAGGATTCTAGATCTGAAGCCCCCAGCCTCTTAGAAGGAATCCATGAAGCCTCTGATGATATAATATTTTTGATTCTCTGTGTAGGGGGAATTTAGAAGAGAACAGAAACAAGAGGTCTCTCTGGGAGTCATACCACTCCGTTCTCCATCCTTAAAACATTCAATTCTCCCAAACAGCTGAAACTGCACTGCTTCAATTTGGCTGACCTGTTTTGGGGCTTCTTCTCTTAAGGTCATCTACTGCCAAAGACCATGAATTGTTCACCCATCTCTGGTCAGTGTTCCTACTCGAAACAGGGATGAGGCCGATAACAAAGAGTACTAAGTACACAAAATTGTCTACTACAATGTCCTACCTGTCACTACTTCAGCTTCAACCGCAATAACACACACGGGCAAACAATAGATACAAACTCAGAGTAAACTGCTCCAAACTCTATTGCAGAAAATACAACTTCAGCAAACAGAGTTGTCAACGCCTGCAACTCACTCCCTGACTCTGTTGTTACATCGTCAAACCCCCAAACACTTTAACCTTAAACTGTCGACTGTGGACCTCACTCTGTTCTTAAGAGGTCTGTAAGGGGGCTTGCATAAGTGCACCAGCATGCCTACCATCCCTTCCCTACTGTTCCCATTTATTCATACTCATTTATTATGGATATACTTATAGCTATTTATACTTGTATGTTTATATGTTATGTTCATACTTATACTTGTTTTTTTTCTCATACATGCTTGACAAACAAAATAAATAAAAATAAATAAATAAAATAAACCACACCTCTCTCATCAAGTGAGGAGATCTTAAAGGCCCTTCAGATGCAGGCCATGAAACCTACTGCTTTGATGATGTGCCTCTTTCTGGTGCTTTGCAAATCTGCACCTGACTGTCAGCAGATGGCACTCCTGTCTCTGGATAGATTGTGAAACTCTGAAATGTTGTGTTTATTTCCCTTTTGAAATCAGATTCGCCCCTTTTCTCAAATGGACCAGTGGGAATTTGTTTCCACTTCATCACAAAAGTTTGTGTGGGTTTTTTTTAAAGGACTTCTGCTTTGAGCTTACCTTCAGGACAATAAAAGCCAGGAGGGCATGGGAAACCATCGTAACTGGTCGTGTTTTCAGGGCAGTAGTAACCCGCTGGACAAAGGGAGCAAACGGACTGCGTGGTGAGATTATTGTAAGTTCCTGCGAGGCAAGGAAGAGGGTGGCTGGTTCCCTCCGGACAATAGTGACCCACAGGACAAAATCCTCCCTGTTCTGGAAATCCTATAAGAAAGAAGAAATGGGAAAATGTACAACGATGCTACTAGTCCTCTAAAAATAAGAGAAGGGGATGGCAAAGAGGATGAGAGAAGCTTGAAAACAAAAACCAACACGCGTGTATGAATCTCCATCCTCCAATTCTTACATTCACTAAACCCAATTCATTTTTCACTTCACTCAGAGAGAAAAGATTGGGAATATTGCTATCTGGGATTAGTCTGCCACAGGGGTGGGATTCATTTTTTTTTTACTACCGGTTCTGTGGGCATGGCTTGGTGGGTGTGGCAGGGGAAGGAAGGATGCTGGAAAATCCCCATTCCCCACACCACTAACCTGCTTTCCAGCTCCGTTCTCCTGGGCAGGCCAACCAAAGGAGACCCAGCCGATCAGCTGGGACTCAATGGGAGGCAGAGAAGAGATGGGGTTGGTGGGGCCAGTCAGAGGTGGGATTTGCCGGATCTCTGAACTACTCAAAATTTCCACTACTGGTTCTCCAGAACTGGTCAGAACCTGTTGAATACCATCTCTGGTCTGCCAGAGCCATTTTATATAAGCTTTTTTTTTTTTCCTGCTATTTTTCTCCGGCAAGATGAGGCAAGGGGAAGACCTTGTAGTGCTTCTGCACACCCTCCCGTTTAAATTATTTTAAATTAAGCTGATTTGATGAGTAACCAGTGGAGCAAGACTGCATTTGCAGTCTTGCCAAGGCTGCCGTCTCACACAGGTCTTCTGGGTAGGAGCAAACCCTATCAGGATATATTCTTAAGCAAATATGGGCAGGATTCCACATCATCTTTAATGACCCCATAATCACTCGTGGGGTAGAATCTGGGCCACTGAATAGAGCTGAGCGATTACTGGTCGGATGCCCTTCCTGTCACCAATGCGGAGTTATATTCAGCAGATATATTCTCAGCATGCCGAGAGAGAGAAATGTCTGCCTCTACCGGGGATCGAACTCACAGCCTCCTGATTGTGAGGTGAGAGCTCCACCTCTAAGCCGCCATACCACTCGGCAGGATTGCACTGTGATGATACCCACTTAATCTTAATGCCTGTACCTGCCGTAGGGGAGGAGAGAATAACCTGTATTAAAGACAACACAACACAGGCGTGCTTCTATGCGTGCGCCTGCAACTACTCACCCATCACCACATCCTGATTAATGGGGATGCCTCATTAGTAAACAAAGCAGTTTTAAATCAATTCATCTGGTTAATCTATTAAACGCTGCAGACCAGATTGGGCGGGATCGGAATGTGAATAAAGTTAGTTTAACACCCACACAGCTGGTTTTGGGTTTGGAAGGAAAGGAGAAGGGGACTTTCTGACGGGGGCTTCGCACAGGGAAGAGACAGATTTGCACCCTGCTTGACAGAACATGGAAGCAGGGTGTCAGCTCGCCCTCTCACCTGCTGGGGAAGGTGAAGTGGCTCCAGGTAGGCAGTAGTAACCAGCCAAACAGGGTCCAGAAGGCACCGAGAGACCAACAGAGGAGCAGTAATACCCAGGCGGGCATGCAATGCAGCTGGTCTCAAGCGAAAGATACCGCCTGGGGAGACAAGAATTCCCAGCTAATTTCATAGAACATAGAATAATAGGGAAGTCTTCTGAAGTAACCTCTTCCTCAAACAGAAGACTTCAATCTGCTAGCAAATCCTTTATTTGACACTGTAATTGGTAGCTTAGGTTAAAGATAATATTGTGTTGACCAAGCAAAGCCAGTATTTCTGGCTCTGCTACTCCAGAGGACCCATGATGCTTGGTTCATCCACAAAAACTACAACTTTTCCTCTTCTTCCAGAAATAACAAAGTTGGAAGGGACTTGGAGGTCTAATCTAGTCCACCTCCACTGCTCAAGCAAGAAACCCTATACCAGCGGTGGCAAACTTTTTTGGCCC